TTGTGGGCATCGTACTCGGTATGTCCGATTCCTAGCTGGCGTATATTGAGAGCGACTACATGGTTCCGAATTACTGTGCAGTGTGCAGGCATTGCGTAGGGGTAGATCTCAGAACCAACAAGTTCGCAGGTCTCAGGATTGTGGGCCTGGTACTGGGCACAACCATAAGATGGCACACTGGACAACTGTATGATGGCGCAGGGGAAATGTACAATTTGAGGGGAAGTAGAATGTGTTCCGGGTACAGATGCAACCTACGACGCGCAGGGGAAAGACTTAGCGCGGTAGGATGAAAAGTAGACTGTGGTCCCAGTACAGATGCAAGAAGGACATTTTGCTGGGGAACACAGGCAACTCCCATGTACCGGTAGATGGAATTTTCCCTTTAAATTTTGCATTTTTGGTTAGGCGGCCCCTCTCACCCTTTTTTTGTTTTTTTTCTTTTTCTTTTTTGTAACCCCCTCAGAAGACCCCCCTCCACCCTTCCTCTGATCAATTACCCCGACGCGCCCCAACCCCCTCTGTCCTACCTTAATGTGGACCACCCAGGACCATGATCACCCATCACCAACTCGACCACACAGCGGTTGCATGCACCCGGGCTGAGGGGGGGAACCCCTACTTCCCCACTCAGCCCTGGTTGAAGCGGATGCGATGCAAGCCCTGTTGCATGGGTACTTCGGGAGCTAGGTGTGAACGTGCGACTACAGGCCGTTCCTGAGGGGGTTCAGACTCCCCTGTGTGTCCCCCAATCGACATTGTTGTTATGACCTGGGCACCCGGGATATGAGTCGAACTATAGCCTTGATATCACGGGCAGTGTCTACTGGCCCCTCCCTAGCCAAGGTCTAACCTCATGACATCCCCTCGAGAACCCCAGGTTGCCTACCTAGTCACTGTGATGCTGTTATTGTGGTTATTCTGAACGTTATTTGATTGGACACCAGTCCGTTGATATCCTAGCCTCTGTCATCAGTGGGCCCCACGGTCCAATCATCCATTACGGTAACCTCACCTCAGTCATGAGCTGGATCCCTCTGTTGTTGTTATAGGGTTGTAAACGGCCCTTAGTCTCCGTCATTAGTAATATGTAGTACTAGGCCACCATCCATTCCTTTACTTCCATCATGAACTAGGGTCACGGTTAGAGTCTTGTATTAGGGCGTAGGGTCACTGTTAGAGTCTTGTATTAGGGCGGAATGCAGACAATCCCAGCTTGGAAAATGCCCCTCAGACAGGTCCTACTGCAGGTTCCCCAACAAATTGAATCCTCCACTAGAGCCTGTTTACTAACAGTCTAACACCCCTCCAGGACCTACTGGGATCCTTAAGACAACCCCTACTCCAGGTTCCCCCCCGATATCCTCGAGCAGAGATCATCCCAACCAGCTGATCCCTCTGTTGTTGTTATAGGGTTGTAAACGGCCATTAGTCTCCGTCATTAGTAATATGTACTAGGCCACCATCCGTTCCTTTACTTCCGTCATGAACTAAGGTCACTGTTAGAGTCCTGTATTAGGGCGGAATGCAGACAATCCTATCTTGGAAAATGCCCCTCAGACAGCTCCTACTGCAGGTTCCCCAACAAATCCTCCACTAGAGCCTGTTTACTAAAGTCTACCACTCCTCTTACTGGGAACCTTAAGACAACCCCTACTGTAGGTTCCCCCCCGATATCCTCCGGCAGAGCTCGTCCCAACCAGCCCAACCCCCAAACGGGAACCCATCACCCCACCTAGGACCTTATCCCCCCCAAGCAGAGCCCTAATCGTACCTGCATCCCCACCATAGCCATGGCATATGCTCAACCCAGCACAAGCAGATTTGAACCCACAACCTCAACGAGACAGCTCCTAGCTCAAAAAAAAAGAAAAAAAAAAAGAAAAAAGAGACAGCTCCTAGCTCAAATCTACTGAGCTCCAATAACACCTGGTCTGTTCATGCGCTGTTCAAGACTGGAGGACAAGTACGTGTGGTGCCAAACTAACACCAACCAATTGTGCACGGGGGAGACTAAGGGCTGCCAGAATCGAACCTCCAACCTCCGCATTGCAATGCCGGAGCTCTACCCACTGAGCTACCACGTATTTTCTTACCACTGGCTGTCTCGAAGGTAAGACACCAAGCATGCCTGTGATGCGCAACCTCACGCCCCGTCGCGGCTTTCCGTACTGGATCGCCGATCAGGGTAGAAGGGGGTGTGGCCGAGGATTTTTGGCCATGGGGGTTAGAGTCTCCCGGTAGGAATGGGAGTCTCTCGTTTCGGGGCCGATAGGTTTCCCCCGACTGGGGCTCGATCTTTGGTCAGGATTACCAAAAACAAAGGGGGAGGAGAACAGGATGAACGGACGGGCCCAACCCAGTTTCTCTAGATGGGGAAAAAGGAGGGACGGGGGACCTATTCCTCGCCGGGCCTGCTCTGCATAAAGGGCGATGGATTCCCCCGCGCGGATTCTCAATCCTCGTCGTGGGGTTCGTCGAGGCCTCGGGGACTCACGGTCGGAGGAACTCGGCGGGCGGGGGCTGTCGCCGCAGTCGGGATACGGAAACGGGCAGGGAGAGCTCCGGCGTCCCGGGAGAGTTCAGGGAACCGGGCGGCTCCTTCGTACCCCAGAACCAGCCTTCGCCACGAGCAGGAGTCCCCCTGCTGGCACCATCGGCAACCAAACTGGAGGCGCCACGCGGCGCAAGCCACAGACCAGGGGAGCACCGTCAGGTCGGTGTAAGGCAGTATAAGGGGCGGGGAAGAAAAGCGGTCTATCAGCACAAACCCTTCCCCCGCGATGTGGCACGCCCGTTCAGGGTTGTGCCAGTGAACCTGCTCCGTGCGTCGTAGGGCACTCCGTACGTCCGCGTCGCAGTAGACGCTGTCGTCGTCGACGATGGGGAAAATCGGGAGTGCACTGCGACGCGCGGAGTCGGGGTAAGTGCACAGGCGAGAACCCGTGCTTGATTGGAAATCCGTCTCCATACAAAGAGCGACAACGTCTCTCTCTCTCTCTCTCTCTCTCTCTCTCTCTCTCGCTCTCGGGTTTGACACTACTCAACCAGAGGGGTCCGGGCGGAGGGGTGGAGCCGTCTGCTGACCACCTTCAGCAGGCACAGCGAACGCCTCCGGCCCTCACAGCGAGGCGCCACGTCAGATGTCGACGCAGCGGGATTCCGACTCAACCGCGCAGGACGGGAGGGACCCCTTCGGTTACGCGAAGGCCCTCGCCCTACGCGATCGAACCATGGAACTAATAGGGGAACAAGGCAGAAGGAAAAAGAGGTACGATGGCCGACTTAATCATGCATCCAGGCAGACAATCGCCACGCCATACCCAAGGACCACATACATGCATACTCAGACTCACACCCCTTCACAGAACATCTCACCGCGACTCACTCCCATGCATATAACCGATTATCCACTCGACGGGTCGTTGCATACATCTCACGGAGACAAAGCAGCCATGGAGAAAAGAAAGCGAGTTTCCTTGTACACAAAATTTTCCAATTGGTTGACGCCCTCAGGCGCAACCGCAACCTTCCCAAGGACCACCGACCACCATAGCCACAAGACCCTGTCGTGATCGGCTCCCGATCTCCACCACTACTCAATCCCTCCAGCTGGCTTACCCCGAGTCTATCGCTAAGCCCGACCCACGTCGTCACTACGCCCGTAACTTGGGCTCGTCAAGCCTGTTCGGCGTCGCGGTCATTCGCGCATAACTCGCGCAGCATTGCAGCCGAGATCAAAGAGAGGGAGAGGAGGGGGTTCCGACAATTTATAGCGTGGGAGGCGGCGGGTTGTCAGCGCGAGGTGCGGGCAGCGCCGGTTGTAGACGAGCAGGACAGAAGAAGGGTGAAGGGTTTTGGAAGGGGTGTTCCGCGGAGTYGCGTGGTCAGGCGTAATTGGGGTGTTCGTTCAAGTGGTGYGCCTTTTCGCCTTCCACATTGATCCGCKCATCCCAACTACGCAGCCATTCACTCGTGGAGGAAGACGGGGTGGGGATCGAGCTGGGCGTAGGGGAAGACGAAGGGTCCTGCATGGGGGAAACGCGTGCAGCAAGAAAGGAAGATGGCGCGGGGATGCAAAGCAAGAAACGGGGGTGCGAGGCGCGCGAAGAAGTCGGAGCTTAGGCGCGCGCGCGCAAAAATTTAAAAAGTCCCAACCGAAACCGTTTCTTGGTTTTCATACCGCGGCCGCTATTCGCCCGCGCGGGAGTTATTAACCAAAGAAAAAGTGAAAAAGCCGTTTCAAAAAGAAAACAAAAGTAAAAAGAAAGAAAAACCCCTTTTTGTTCATATTCGTACTTCGGGGCTTCCGGGGGATTTTTCCTCAGGGATATGGCAAGCCGCGCGGTACGAGTCTAAGCTTATCACATCTGTGATGCGCAGGGGGTTCCGAAAAATTAGCAGTCTCCCGACTGCTGATGTCATCATATTTTGGATGCTCGGGCAGCCTCTTCATCATCAGTTGGCCCAATCATCTCCTAATCTACTTCGATGCATTTCGCATCGTCAGTCATATTATACATCCAATCGGGCGGCCCCTTCATCGTCAGCTGGCCCGATCGGTAAGTAGTCCACTGAAAATTTATTGTATATATATATATATATATATATATATATATATATATATATATATATATATATATATATATATATATATATATATATATGTATTTTGTACAGCACGTCTCGACGCGCGAACTTTGGGCATAGGAGAAGAAGACGATGAAGAGAAAGAGGAGGGAAGAAGGGAGAAGTAGACGAGGGTGATCAAAGGAAGTGATCGATGTCGGGATAAGAGGGGGCGGAATAGGTGGAAGGAAAGCGGCCATTGCCGCGAGAGTCGTCGGCGCGTCCTCCTCATGGAAGTGGTGCTGGACAAACGAGGGATAGAGAAAGGCCCCCGGCACATGAGACAGGACGCGTGGCGCCAGATCCGCCACCGCTCGCACCACCCGTTTGCGCACCGATCGGGGTCCGGGACCCGTCATCACCAGATGAGTCTCGGTGTAGGGCCGCTGCTCGCGCTTCTGCGCCGCGAAGACAAGGAAGTGATACATCACATTGGGACGCTGCCCGGTCTCGTAGATGAGCGTCCCCGCCAGCCGCGCCGCAATACACCCTTGAAAAGAGGGTGTCAAATATGGCTCCCACGCCGGATCAGGGCGCGGCGCCCCCGCAATGGCCTCGAGCCTGATGGTGGTGGGCTCCACCATGAAATCCACCTCTGTCGGATGGACCGTCCGGCTCGGAGGAACTGCTAATGTCAATGATCGGGGCACTCAGGGGTGGCTGGCAGAAGCGGAAAGGTCCCGCGAGGACGAGGGGTCTGGGTACGGGATCCGGTAATCCCTTTAGGCTTCCTCCTCCCGCTGCTGCGGCTGATGGCCCGGCTCCATCGAGATTGAGATCAGGCACGCGCGGGAGGGGCGGCGATGGCACGACAGTCTCCTTAACCAGCGTCGCCACACTCTCCGGCACAGGGTCGGGACTCTGCGCGTGCACGGGCTTAACCACCTTCTCGCCGCCACCGATTCGGCTGCCTTGCGCTCCTGGCGATGGGTGGCGTCTCTTCCTCTTCGGCGTCTTCTTGGGGGCCTTTGGCGGCGCAGGTCTGGGATACAATGAGGGAGGTCGCAGCAGCTTTTCCTCGGGGAAGTCCTCCAACCTCTCCTCGCGCTGCGCAATGTAATCCGGGATGACGACCACGTTGTACGTTCTCCGTGGGGCAGCCGCCATCCGCAATCGGGGCTGGATCTCCTCTTCCTCGCTCGCGATCACTTGCGCAATGGATAGGAGCTCAAGATGTATGAGCTCCAACAATCCCGGATCGGTCGTCTGGAGCTGGGCAAACGGGTACAATGCCACCGTCCCCTCCTTCTGCGCTGGCTTGGGCCGCGTGATGACGTAATAAACGACAAAGTGTTCCCCGATGCAGTGGTCTTCGTGATCCACGAAGAATCGTAACATCCCCAACGCCACCGACTTGTATAGCGCACGGTGCAACTCCCACGTGTCTTCGTCTGCGAAGGGCAGCGGCTCCACGTCAGTCAGCTCCACCAAATACTCTGAGAACTCCCGCATAGGATAGGGGCCCTCCGTGAGTTGATAGGGGAGAGTGGTGTAAGAGAAAAAGGGAGGCATTTAGTACGGGGCAGGGGGAATAGCTTGGATGTTGAGAGGGGCGGCGGGAGGAAGAAGCGCGATAAGTTGTGGCACCAATGCAATTGGTCCGTCCTCTGCCCTGCGTAGCAGTGCTTCGTAGGCTGTGAATCAATGTCCTCCCCGTCCTTGCACTCTGGCCACCGATCTCGCCGCCTGCACCGCATATTCTCGCACAAAGCTTCGCGCCGGCTCCCGATTCGGCTGCGGCAGGATCGTCAGGTCTCCGATAAAGGTGGCGACGCTATGCACGAAGTCAGGTGCCACCTGGAGCGCGCGGAACTCTTTGAACACTCGAGTCGTCTCCCACCCAGGTAACTGCGTCACATCCACGTACACCCCCGCATACGTCAGCCGATCACATAGTAACGAGTATGCCGCCAAATCAGCAACCCCGGGCGTTGGCACGTTCACCTGCTGAATGTCGTATCGCAACTGCCTTTCCTCATTGAACTGATGCCACAACAAGCGATCAGCAAGCGGCGTCTTGAAGTGCTCGAGGGGCTCATGCTTCGGCTGACGATGGTTCATCCTGCTCCCTGAGACTCTCAGCACCAAGGGACAAGGCAGATCGGGAAGAGGAAGAAGACGAAGAAGGAGAGGAGGAGAGAGAGGACGAAGGCTCAGACGGGGCAAGAGTCGATTCGCGGCCCGGAGATGGCCGAAATAGTCGAAGAGCTGTCGCGTGTCGCGTAAGCGACCTGGCCTACGTGCTATGCCGGGGGACCAGCTTCACGGAGTGCTGTCCTCGTGCGCCAACTTCCGTCACCTCGTAAATGTCGATATAGCGTGGGTGGATTTTGGAGGAGCGCGCAGATTTCCGTACCTGCACCAAGTCCCCGATCTTATAACGGGGCATTGGTCCCGCTGTCACGTGTCGATTCTCATAGTCCCGGATCTGCCGTTGATGCGTAAGATCTATGGCCCACCCATTCGATATGTTCCACATGGTATTCGTAGGTTTTGGAAAAGACCAAAATGTCATCCATGTACACAATCACATAGAAATTTATAAACGGCTGTGTCAAACGAGTTTTGTTAACGAACTCGGCGAAGGCCATATTCATGGCCCGCTGGAATGTTGCAGAGGCATTGCAAATTCCCACTGGCATGGGGCACTGGATCCACTGCCACGTGCCTTCGAACAGGACAAAAGCGGTTTTGGGCCGGTCTTCCGGTCGGACTGCGACGTGATGAAAACCGTGTCGGATATCGAACTTCGAAAAGACCCGAGCGGACCCGATAGCATCCAGCAGATCGTCAATCCGCGGCAGCGGATAGACATCTTTGGTAGTAATAGCGTTTAATTTGCGGTAGTCAATACACACTCGGACTGAACCGTTTCGTTTTGGCACGAGAACCACGGGAAATGACCATGGTCCAAGCGATGGTTCAACCCACCCCAACCGCTCGAACTCCCGTACCCGTTCCAAGGCCAGTTGTCGTTCTTTTAGGGAATAGCGGTACGGTCGGCAATGTATCGGAGCGCGATCACCAGTATCAATCGCGCGTTGGATCAAGTGGATCAGTCCTATATCATGGTCCTGGATGTTGACGGCCTCTGGGTAGGCCCGTATAACTGCCAAAAGAAGGCGCTTGTAGTCGTCAGGCACATGGGCCGGCAGCCGGACGTCCACGTTTCCCTCACGGAGGGAAATCGTCGATGTAACCGTGAGGACTGCCGCGTTGGCTTCGGTTGAGGCACCAAACAGCGAATTGTCAGTTTTGGTTGAAAGCACGGTCGCGATGAGTTGACTGTCTGCTGGGCTTATTGGTTCGTTTTCCATGTCACTGTCATTCTCGAGCTCGGTTTCAGCCGAGGGTTCTACTGAAAAGGCTTGTAACAACTCCTTTGGCCTCCATCGATATTCCCTCGTTCGAGGTTGAAACGACACCCCTTCCTTCAAGAGCAGGGCGACTTTTGCGTTCGTAAGTAGGGGCCTGGGAGGCCGAAATGTCAAATCGCACAACGCCCTGAGCTCCGTAAACCTTTCGGGTACTAGGCGATCCGTCCTAAGATATAAGGACGCAGGGGGTTCCGAAAGGTCAGTTATTCGCGACACCCTCAACAGGGGTTCTCCCTGCACCACGGAGGAGAACGTGTGCGACCAATCGAACTTGCTCCGAACTATTTCCATGGGTTCTCGTCGCCAGGAGTGGCGCCACCGATCCTGAACCCGGGTCGGATATCGGTCGGGTACATCAGTCTCGTCAGTTTCCGATGAAGTTTCATTTTCGCCTGGTGACAGGCATTGGATCATGTTGATTTGGTGGGCTTTCGTAGTGATTCGAGGCGCCGACTGGGTGCGCATACGCACCGCCAATATCATTGGTGTCGTTTGTGGTTTGTGGTGGGCCAATGTGAGCACCACCTTACAACTGTCAAAGTGCATTCGCGCTCCGACCGCCCCCTTGCACGGAATGCCTAGCAGAACATCATACGCCTGTACATCCAGTACAATTGCGTTGCACAGACAATGCACCCGCCCCACTCGTATAGGCACGTTCGTTATCCGCCCCTTACAATGAATGTTGTCCTCCGTAGCGGATATATACAATTCATCCGGTCGGAGGGGCTGAACCTGTCCTTCCCTTCCCAATTGTTTCGTCAATCTCCAAAAAATGGCGACCGCTGACGATCCCGAGTCTAGGATGGCGGCCGAGGGATTTCCCCAGACCTCGCAGCCACACTCAACGCTTTTCCAGGTTATAGGGTAGGCTCGGAGGAATACCTCAGGTTTCTCCGAGGCAGGATCTACGGTCTGGATCATTCCTACCCGGTTTGCTTCGTGCACCTTTCAGGTCGAGGGCTGTGACTCTTCGTTTGTGGGTAGGTCTCGTAGGACCGACTTTTTGCCTTTTCGACTTTCCTCGAATCGGCGTCTGTTCTTGGGGCATCATTCGATCAACTTTTCGTTAACCGCTTCGGAAATGGTAGGCAGATAGGGAATAGGGACGGGGATCCATAGATCCAGAGCCTTCAATGCATCCAACACATCGATGTGACCGTCTTTGTACTCAGGTCCAGGGGCCGTGAAATCTTCGAACCCCGGTCGCCAAGGCCCGAGGTCGCTTTCCTCGGTAATTCTTTGGACGTGACGTATCACTCCAACGGTCCCGGGTTCGAACATCGCCGCAGCCATATACTCATCGGGTCCTATCTCGGTGGCCGCAGGGGTCACCATTTTTGTTGTTCCAGTATCCATCACCGTGGCTACCCTCCCTTGTCCTGCAGCGGTTGGAGCAGCTAACGGGATTCGGGAAGGTCCAGTGGGCCCCGCGGGCCCATTCTGAGTTCGAGGTTTCGGACAGTCCTTCGCAAGGTGGCCCGGCTGATTGCAGTTGTAGCACCGCAGAGGCTGGGCGACTCCTGCTGCGGCTGGTCGGGTCATAGGGGTACCGGCGGTCATGGCAGTTTGTTGTCGTTGCGCAGCTGCCACCCGTTGCCGCCGCAAGTTTTGAACGAATTCCGTCAGCGGGGCCACTACCATGACCAGCTGGGCTGCGACCTCTTTCATTGATATTTCGTCCTCATCACGGCCTCCTTGAGCTTGACCAGAGCGTCGGGAGGTCAACGCGGAAGACGAAATTTTTCGATCTGAATTCTTCTTTGTCGGTCCTAACCCGAAGCGATCCTCGAACATTCGCGCGAAGTAGTTATGCCGTCGGACACCCGAAGGGTCATCTTCATCGGACTCCGAATCCAGACCTACATCGTAATTTTCCTTCCCGTACTTAATGGCATACTGAATGAGCTCAGTCAGGGTGTGTTCTATCGGGTTGCATTTCTTGCGGATCTTCTTCCGCAAGCGAGAATCGGACAGTCCCCTAACGAAATCAGTCTGCACCATCTTTTCATCGACCCCCGAACGTTCGGGCAAGTAGGTGAAACGCTCTGCATATCTGGCCAAGGTTTCCTGAGGCTGCTGCGTATATTCTTTTATCAGACGAAGACACTTCCCGGGTGCGATGTAATCAAAACGCTCCAGAAACTTTCGTTGGAAGGTTAGCCAATTAGTGTAGGGGTTATGCCCATACCACTCAAAAGCAGTTTCGGCTAACCTCCCCGGGATTCATTCTCGGAGCAACTGGTCCGACCAGCCCTGGGCTTTCAAAGCGGCTAGCCAAGTGCAAGGGTCGGTATCATCCTCGGAGAAGATGGGAACCTCGGAGGGAGGAGGTACAAAATACAGGGGATTATTGGCAATCACCGCGTGGTTATCGCCGCCGTTTCCACCCCCAATTCCGGGTTCCACCATCGAGGGAGGCGGATCTCGAGCCCAGCCTCTCACTCGGTTTTGATTGCTATTCGCGGGCCGGCGTCAACGTGCGTGCCGGCGTCAACGGGGAGCCAGCCTACTCAAAATGAGAGAAATCTAAGAATAAAAAGGATCAAAAGGAAAAACTCCAAAACAGGGTAATCGTCCTAGGAAAACCTCGGAGCTGAAACGAATCAGCTCTAATACCAACCTCACGCCCCGTCGCGGCTTTCTGTACTGGGTCACCGATCAGAGTAGAAGGGGCCGTGGCCGAGGATTTTTGGCCATGGGGGTAGAGTCTCCCAGTAGGAATGGGAGTCTCTCGTTTCGGGGCCTATAGGTTTCCCCGACTAGGGCTCCATCTTTGGTCAAGATTACCAAAAACAAAGGGGGAGGAGAACGGGGTGAACGGACGGGCCCAACCCAGTTTCTCTAGATGGGGAAAAAGGAGGGACGGGGGACCTATTCCTCGCCGGGCCTGCTCTGCATAAAGGGCGATGGATTCCCCCGCGCGGATTCTCAATCCTCATCGTGGGGTTCGTTGAGGCCTCAGGGACTCATGGTCGGGGGAACTTGGCGGGCGGGGGCTGTCGCCGCAGTCGGGATACAGAAACGGGCAGGGAGAGCTCCGGCATCCCCGGAGAGTTCAGGGAACCGGGCGGCTCCTTCGTACCCCAGAACCAGCCTTCGGCACAAGCAGGAGTCCCCCTGCTGGCACCAGCGGCTGGTGCCACCAAACTGGGGGCGCCACGCGGCGCAAGCCGCAGACCAGGGGAGCACTATGAGGTCGGTGTAAGGCAGTATAAGGGGCGGGGAAGAAAAGCGGTCTATCAACGCAAACCCTTCCCCCGCGATGTGGCACGCCCGTTCAGGGTTGCGCCAGTGAACCTGCTCCGTGCGTCGTAGGGCACTCCGTACGTCCACGTCGCAATAGACGCTATCGTCGTCGACGATGGGGAAAATCGGGAGTGCACTGCGACGCGCGGAGTCGGGGAAAGTGCACGGGCGAGAACCCGTGCTTGATTGGAAATTCGTCTCCATACAAAGAACGACAACGTCTCTCTCTCTCTCTCTCTCTCTCTCTCTCTCTCTCTCTCTCTCTCTCTCTCTCTCTCTCTCTCTCTCTCTCTCTCTCTC